CTCTATATATAGAGAAGCTAAGGAGAGTTGAGATACAGCTGAGATAACAGAGAGCAAAGAGATAGAGAGAATTACAGAGAGTGTTGTAATTCTTACCATTTTGTTCAATATAGTGAATCCGCTGCCCGTGGACATAGGCGACTTGCCGAACCACGTTAAAACTTGTGTGTTATTGCTTGTTTGAGTTCCCTGGTGTGCCCCCGATCCGCAACAACAAACTCATTGTGCCAATAAGAACATCTCTAACAAGGAAAATTAATTATTAGATAGAATTGAAATAACCATGTGACATTTTATACATAATACTCCTATAAATAATGAATCGCAAAACAAACTAAGGGCATCTTCAATCCTTCATTTGAAAAAAAATGACTCCCTTAATTTGATGACCATTTGATAAAAGGATTTGAGATGATTTCATCAAATGGTCATCAAATTAAGGGAGTCATTTTTTTTAAATTAAATTGAGAATTCATCAAATTTGAATTTGATACAAAAAAATATATATAAAAAAAATAAAATTAAAAAAAAAGATAAAGTATTAGAGATGATTTTTTTTCATCAAATTTGATAAAAAGATAAATTTGGGATAAGAAGATAATTTTTTTAAAAATTTTGATAAAAATTTGATAAAATAATTAGAGTAATTCAATATCCAGCTACATTCTCTCTCTAAAATGAGAGCTTCTCTCTCTAAAATGAGAGGTAGTCTCCCGGTGGGTAATTTCTGAGCTCCTGTAGCTCTGTTCTCTCTCATTTTTTTAGGGCTTGTGTGTTGTTTCCTCCCTATCCTTTCGGATTCTTTGTTCTCGTAGGTGTAATCTTTGAGCTCTTGTAACCCTGGTTTCTTTTCTATCTTTATTAGGGCCTTTGTGATCCTCCACTCTATCCATTCTTCTTCTGTGTTTTCGTGGGTGTTCCCTCTGGCTTTGGGCATCTGATTTCTCTGGATTCCTTTGAGCTTGCTAAGGCTTCTGATGAGTGTAAGGATGTCTCAAGTTTGTGTTTGGTCGAAAAGATTCTAGCTCCCAAGACTTTGAACAAGCAGGTGGTTACTAACATTATTCAGGGAGCTTGGAAGGTGAGAGCAAAGTTAGTAATATCGCGTTGGGGTGATAATGTATTTATTTTCTAGTTCACAGACCTTGAAGATCGTCAAAGGGTCTTATCAAAGGCCCCTTGGTCTGTTATGGGGAGTCATCTAGTTCTTCAGCCGCTTTAAACGAAAAGGGCAACGTCGGAGCTTGAATTTCGCTGGTGTCCTTGTTTGGTCCAAGTCCATGGATTACCGGTAGACAAGATGACTAAAAGCCATGGGGAAACGATAGGTAATCGAATTGGGAGATTGATTGAAGTTAAGGCTCGATCGGAGGGACTTCTATTGGAACGTAGTTTCCTTCGTCTTAGAGTTGATGTTGATGTTGCTAAACCTCTGCTTCAAGGATTCATCCTTCATCGATGAGGGGCTCCTAGGGTTGAAATTGATGATGTTCGTGTCTTGTATAAATACGAGAAACTATCTGAGTTTTGTTACGATTGCGGGCAAATTAGGCATGACAACCTCTCGTGTAAGTTTGTTTCTAGAGAAAAAGGGGTTAATTTCCGATATGGACCTTCAATGTGAATCGAAAGGGCTAGAACTTCGGGGGTTATTCATAATTCTACTCGCCGTCGAATTATTGGAATGTTAAATGTGGTGATGATACTCCTCGACGGCCAACTGAGAGCCCTCTGTGAACCTTCTAGTGGCGGAGGGTGCTTCTATCGTCCATAGTGACAATCTGTTACAAGATGTGGTAGGGGCTAGGGGTGTGCCTGCACGTGAGAAAGTGGGGCAGGTGTCCTTGTCTTTAGACCCACCTGTGGTGATACCACGTAATTCGGCCAAAAAGATTAAAGATTCTGAAAGGTTAAACTTGATTAATTGGTATCATCACTACTTGCTAGCCTAAGTAACTTGTGGGTTGACCAACAATACCCAAAAGCTTAAGTCCAAGTTACTTAGTAGCAAGGTAGCGATGCTTTATATGTCCAAGATCACTCATGCAAACTTCCGATGTGGGATAGGGTGTTACAAACTCTCCCACTTATAAATCCTCGCATCCTAGCGAGGGTCCATAATCAATTAGAATACCACGACAAGCTCGTGGCCAATCCAGAATAGGTAGCCCACATGGTTGTGTGCATGGGTTGGCTCTGATACCATTTGTAATGCCCCAGTACTTGCTGGCCTAAGTAATTTGTGGGTTGACCAACAATACCTAAAAGCTTAAGTCCAAGTTACTTAGTAGCAAGGTAGTGGTGCTTTATATGCCCAAGATCACCCATGCAAACTTCCGATGTGGGACATGGTGTTACACAAACTGGCTAAGGCTTTGGGCTAGAAATGTAATAGCCCAACCCGTATTATGCTTAATTATACCTGTGTTTATGTGTTTGATATGAATTTTCAAGTTTAAGTATATGAATTATATGAATTTGGGATTATATCTGTTGAATGTAGGAATATCTGTTGCAATATATAAATTAAAGACGCAATAAACCAAAACTGACTTCATACCTGTGTTTGGCATGATTTTTAGAGCCTTTGGTGAGATTTTGAAAAATTATGATTTGTAATGAATAGGTTAAGATTTTTGAGTTAAGTGTATATATTTAGCCTTTTGTTCTTCATTTTGTTGAAAGAGAGCTCAAAGTATGAGATAGAGAGAGAGAAAGAGGAGAAAGCTAGGGATTTGAAGGAAATCAAGGGGCAAACCTTAGAATTGGATTAAGGTATGTTGAATTACTTACAATCTTTGTCTCTAACTCATCTTTGTCTTGAAGTCATGAAGAAATTATGAATTTTGAGCTAGGGTTTTGAGTTGTGTGGTGGCTTGAGCTAAAGGCATGAAATTGAACCCTAATCTCTCCATCTTTGTTTGATTTAAGTTCACTCTTGTGATTGACTCATGAAACAAACCCTAGATAATTCATGAAAACAAAATTTGTTGAAAGATTGCTCATGGATCATGTATTTTGAATTTGTTTATGTAATATATGAATATGGGAAAGAGATTAGTCCATGAATTTGTTGTTGATGCAAGGTTGATATGTTTCATGTGGAATTACACTTGTATCATACTTATATAGCATGTTTTTGAGTTGTTTTTACATAAATTTGGGCTTGGAAATAAGTCTAGGAAGTTTGCATCTTTGAACCATTTTCGGACTGTCTGATTTTGCCCAAATCGCACGAGCGGCCACCGGCACCGCACGAGCGGAACATGAAGAAAAAAAAGAGGTTTTCATTCTGCTCCTTGGGTGCTTGAGCGGCTGGTGTTTCGGCTTGAGCGGATTTGGGCCGCACAAGCGGTGAAGACTTCTGCACGTGCGGAACCCCTGTTTCAGCCTAACTTCAAAAAGACATATCTCCTTCATCCGGATTCCGTTTTAAGCGATTCTTGAGCCTAAATTCAAGCCCTCGAAGTCTAGTTTCTAATGGTGGTAATGTCATATCTAAATTCTAAGTACACAAATAGATATGCTCAAATTAGTGAAGGCTGTTTACATTCTTTTAACCGTTTCATGCCATTTCCTACCCTAATTTAGTTTCCTTTCGCTTCTTGCTATTTCCTTAAATCTTAAATAATTAAACATGATATGTTCAATGAAAAACATATGAAATTATTGTAGGAAACATTAATTTAAGTCGTGAACATTTAGGGCCGTTTAAAGTACATCTTTGGTACATATTTTGTACGTAATTATATGTAGAAAAGATTAGCATAGAACACTTGAGAGAAATTTTAAAAAAAAGTATACGAATTGAAACAAATGATTTATCGAATGTGTATGTGACATGTTTTGTGTAAGTCGTGTGTCGGAGACAACGCCGCAAGACCAAACGCACTGTGAGTAGTAATATGGTACACTTATGCTCTTTGTTGCGTATCTTGAACCATGAACGGTGATTGGTGCCAACATTATGAATTGATTAGAAATGATGAAACTTCATTGATATTATATGACATGTGCTAAATGATTGGGCCCGAGGCCGCTTGTTAAATGATTGGGCCCGAGGCCGCTTGATAAATGATTGGGCCTGAGGCCGCTTGTTAAATTATTGGGCTCGAGGCAACTTGATAAATGATTGGGCCTGAGGCCGCTTGTTATATTCTTGGGCCTAAGGCCATTTGGTTTATATGATTATTGATATTGTGAGAACCTGATGATCATCTACTTACAGTACTTTACTGTATTATTACTCACTGAACTTCGCTCACCCAATTTTATGTATTCACATGTAGGTGATCAGTAGTATAGAGCACACCCCTAAAGTCAGCTTCAGGAGCCTTTTTGTGACCCAATCGAGTCATGCCTCGGAGACGAAGTTTTGTCTTGACTCACACCACACTTTGACCTTATTATATTTTTGCTTTCATGGTCTTGGATTGTAAACACTATGTACAATTTCCTTATGGGTCATATATTTTGATGGGCAAGTATATGTATTATTGCATTACGTGGTTAACTCTATGATTTTGCTCATGATTGGCACAACTCAATGGACTTCTCCTTATTATATATTTCTATTTATGGCCCCATTAGCATAAATATTCTGTATGATCATTTGAGGTCTTCAGTAATCTACAGATTGCTGGCTGCTTATGACCCAAACTTTTAGGGGCGGGTGCGGGTCATGACAGAGTGGTATCAGAGTACGAGTTAATATCTCACACACAAGTCCATATGAGCAATAAAAAGTCTAGAAAAGGTTTAAGTTGCATCTATAATGCATCCACATCAGGTATGACATGGAAATGTACATTTGTATGTGACTTATGTGCATATTATCTGTGAAAGTTATAATGCATGTTCCTCAGATCATAGTGAGAACAAGGGCAGAAGATAGGGAGGATTCAACCTCTGCACGACTTGATACGATGGATGCAATGATGATGGAAATGGCTGAGGCTTTTAGACAACAACGACAGCAATAACAACCACTACTGCCACCAATGTCGGTGCCCCCACTTGTAGTACAAGACCATCAAGCTGCTGACCGAACCATTGCTTTCACAAAGGAATTTAAGAAGATGAAACTGCCATCGTTCAAAGGAAGGATTGATCTACTAAAAGCGAAGGCGTGGGTGCTTGGTATTAAAAAATTATTTGAAGTATTTCCATACACGTAGACATAAAAAGTCTTGCTAGCTACCTTTACATTAGAAGATGAGGCGCACCGCTGGTGGATGCTTATTCGAAGAGAACATCAAAGGGATGAATTAGGCTCAATTCTTGGAGATCTTCTATGAGAAGCACTTCCCACAGAGTATCCAGGACAGGAAGGTGTTGGAGCTTGAAAACTTGAAGCAAGAAAACAAAGCTGTAGTGGAGTATGAGGCGCAATTTACTGAACTAGCCCGTTTCACACCATATATGGTCGATACGGACTACAAGAAAGTAGGAAAATTTGAGGTAGGTCTCCGAGACTCCATTCTTGAAAAGATTAATGTATTGCAGGTACAGAAATATGTTGATGTATTAAATAAGGCCATCATAGTGAAAGGTAACCAAGCCAGCCACAACCGGTACTTGGATTGGAAAAGCAAAAGGCAGGGTTCCAATATGCACAAAGGGTTGACGTCCTTGCAAAATAAGAAGCAAAATTTGGGAAGTTCCAACACTGCAGGGTCTAACCGTGATTCACCACCAACTTGCCCAGAGTATGGGAAGAAGCATTGAGGGGTTTGCCATCAAGCATCAGGAGCTTGCTTGAAGTGTGAGAAGACGGGCCATATGATAAGAGATTGTCTTATGTTTGGGCAACAAAAAGGGACTAGGCCAACTACTAGTTTAACCGGTTCCACTCCTGCAACAAAGGCCCCGGCAAGGCCTACAACTTCTAGAGATAATGTTAGGCATGGGAGAGTCTTTGCCCTTGTTCTAGATGATGTCCAAAATTCTGATGCAATGGTTTCAGGTACGCTCTCCATCAATGGCCAACTTGCTCATATGCTACTTGATTCGGATTTCACTCATTCTTTTGTTTCGAAAACCTTTGCTCTTAAATTGAATAAATCTATGGAACCCTTGAATTATGTGTTGTGTGTGCCTCTCTAATCTGGAGACTATATGTCATGTGCTTCTATATATCCTGCATGTGAACTTTTACTTGGAGATATTCCATTATGTGCTAATTTGATGCCTCTTGATATGGTACACTTTGACATAATTTTGGGAATGGACTCGTTAGCTAAATATCATGCAACAAGTAACTGTGTGTCTAAGCAAGTTGTTTTCCGCCCACCGAGTCAGGATGAGTTCACTTTTGTGAGACACGGGGTAGTCCCTCCGCCATATTTGATATCTGCTATGAAAGCTTGTAAACTACTTCAGAAAGGTTGTAGGGGTTATTTGTGTAGCATTTTGCATGCAGAGACAACTGAGGTGGGTGTTGAAAATATTCAAATTGTTAGTGAGTTTCTGGATGTGTTTCCTAAAGAATTTTCAAGGAACTTGATAGACCATGAGATTGAATTTGTCATTGATATTGTGTCAGGTACTCAACTGATTTCTAAGGCTCCGTGCCAAATGTCTCCAGTAGAAATGAAGGAATTGAAAATACAATTGTAAGAATTTCTTGACAAAGGATTCATCCAACCGAGTACATCGCCATGGGGCACACCCGTTTTGTTTGTGAAGAAAAATGATGGGACCCTCTGGTTGTGCATTGATTACCGCATACTTAATAATGTAACGATGAAGAATAAGTACCCTTTACCATGGATTGATGGGTTGTTTGACCAATTACAGGGGCACAAGTAATTTCAAAGATTGACTTGAGATCCGAGTACCATCAGTTGAAAGTCAAAGCAGAGGATGTTGAGAATATCGCCTTCTGAACCAGGTATGGCCATTATGAATTTTAGTCATGCCATTTGGGGTTACAAATGCACCAACAGCTTTTATGGATTTAATGACTCGAGTTTTCAAACTGTACTTGGAAGAGTTTGTAATGGTATTCATTGATGACATTTTTATTTATTCGAAGAGTATGGTGGAATGGAAACACCACACCAACCAATTCCAAATCATGCGTAGGGTAATTCTTTTCACGTGGCTTCAATTATCGAGATGTATATGCAATTGCTCTTCCATTCTGCATAAGCACACCCCCAGACCCTTATGAGAAGAATCACTACAAATCATAAACCCTTCTGTACCTGACGGTAAGGCAATGACCGGTGTAGTTGTGAGTCGTGTCTTTAATTCTTGGAAGGCGGACTCTCTTTGTTCTGTCCACTCAAATGGAACACCTTTCTGAGTCAACTGGGTGAGCGGCACCGCAATCTTGGAGAAGTCTTTAACAAATCTTCAGTAGTACATTGCTAAACCCATAAAACTGCATATTTCTACAACATTGGTAGGAGCGGGCCAATTCATAATAGCTTCTATCTTTTGCGGGTTAACGGACACACCATCCTTGTTGATTACATGCCCCAAAAACACAACTTTATTCAACCAAAATTCACGTTTCTTCAATTTAGCATATAACTTCTTGCCCCTAAGTGTTTGAAGAATCAATCTCAAGTGTTTTTCATGTTAAGATTTGACAGCATTATCTTTATGGAGCAACATGTGAAATCTACACCGACCACAAGAGCCTCAAGTATTTCTTTACTCAAAAGGAGCTTAATATGTAGCAGACACGGTGGTTAGAACTCATCAAGGATTATGACTTGTAGATTCATTATCATCCCGACAAAGCCAACACAGCAGACGGACGCTCTTAGTAGAAAGTCAACGGGAAACTTAGCATGGTTGCTTACGGAGCAGAATGAAATATTACTTGACTTGGAAAGAATGGAGGTGGAAATTGTGCTACACGAACGGGATGGAATGTTAGCTGCAATGGCCACGCAACCGGCTATTATTGAAGAAATTAAACGAAGATAGTTAGAGATTGAATTTCTCAAGAAAGTACATGATGAGATAGAAACGAAGCCGAGACCAAGATTTTCCTTGGGAGCTCAAGTGTTGAAATTCAAGGGAAGATTGTGTATTCCTAATGTCCCCAAAATTAAAGGTAGAGTCTTGGAAGAAGCTCACAAGTCTAGATTTGCTATGCATCCTAGAAATACCAAAATGTACCAAGATCTTAATCAAGCTTTTTGGTGGCCCAATATGAAGAGAGAAATTGTGGAGTTCATTTCAAGGTACCTTCAATGTTAACAAGTAAAAGCGGAGCATCAAAGACCGATGGGGTTACTTTAATCTCTTCCTATTCCGAAATGGAAATAGGAGCATATAACTATGGATTTTATTGTGGGCTTACCCCGAACACCCCGAGGTATGGATTCTATACGGGTTGTGGTGGATAGATTGACTAAGTCTGCTCATTTTCTGTCTGTGGAGACTGTTTATAATGCTGATAGACTTGTTACAATATACATTGCGGAGATTATTCGATTACATGGTGTTCTGGTTTCCATTGTGTCGGATAGAGATTCTATGTTTGTGTCAAGATTTTGGCAAAGCTTACAAAAAGCATTAGAGACAGAGTTAAGGTTCAGTACCGCATTTCATCCACAAATCGATGGACAATCTGAAAGAACTATACAGACATTGGAGGACATGCTCCAGATATGTGTTTTGGATTTTCGTGAAAGTTGGGAAACTCATTTACCTTTGGCGGAATTTGCCTAAAACAACAGTTTCCACTCCAGTATTGGGATGGCACCATATGAAGCTTTGTATGGGAGAAGATGTCGAACTCTGATTTGTTGGACTGAGGTTGGGGATAGGTCATTGATTGGGCCTGAAATTGTGCAAGTTACTACAGAAAAGATTCAAATCATCCAGCAGAGATTGAAACTACTCAAAGCCGACAAAAGAGCTATGCAGATCAAAGAATGAGGGACTTAGAATTTAAAGTTGGGGATCATGTTTTTGTCAAAGTCACTCCAATGAAAGAGCACACAAGGTTTGGGAAGAAAGGGAAACGATCACCCCGGTACATAGGGCCATTTCAGATTTTGGAAAGATTGGGTCCGGTCGCCTATCAGATTGCTTTACCACTTAGCATGGAGCAAGTGCACAATGTGTTTCACGTATCAATGCTGCAAGGCTACCTTCGGGACCCTTCCCATGTTATTGACTATCATCAAGTTGTGCTAGACGATGATATGGTTTATGAAGAAAAACCCATTCAGATCCTTGATTGGCATGTCAAACAACTAAGGAACAAGAATATCCCAATGGTGAAAGTGGAATGGAGAGAACATCATGGAAGCGAAGCCACTTGGAAACTGGAAGAAGAAATAAGACAACGATATCCGGAATTGTTTTCAACTTGAGGTAAACAAGTTTGGAGGACCAAACTTCCTAAAGGGTGGAAAACTTTAATAGCCCAACCCGTTCTATGTTTAATTATACCTGTGTTTATGTGTTTGATATGAATTTACAAGTTTAAGTATGTGAATTTGGGATTATAGCTATTGAATGTACGAATATCTATTGAAATTGGAACTTTGAACTGAAAATGGAAAGCCTTAGAGACGCGATAAGCCAAAACCGACTTCATACTTGTGTTTGGCATGATTTTTAAAGCCTTTGGTGAGATTTTAAAAAATTATGATTCGAAATGAATAAATTAAGATTTTTGAGTTAAGTGTATATGTTTAGCCTTTTGTTCTTCATTTTGTTAGAAGACCTCAAAGTGTGAGATAGAGAGAAAGAAAGAGGAGAAAGCTAGGGATTTGAAGGGAATCAAGGGACAAACCTTAGAATTGGGTTAACGTATGTTAAATTACTCACAATCTTTATCTCTAGCTCATCTTTGTCTTGAAATCATGAAGAAATTAGGAATTTTGAAGTAGGGTTTTGAGTTTTGTGGTGGCTTAAGCTAAAGGCATGAAATTGAACCATAATCTCTCCATCTTTGTTTGATTTAAGTTCACTCTTATGATTGACCCATGAAACAAACCCTAGATAATTCATGAAAAGAAGATTTGTTAAAAGATTGCTCATGGATTATGTATTTTGAATTTGTTTATGTAATGTATGAATATGGGAAAGAGATGAGTCCATGAATTTGTTGTTGACTCAAGGTTGATATGTTTAATGTGGAATTACACTTGTATCGTACTTATATATCATGTTTTTGAGTTGTTTTTACATGAATTTGGGCTTGGAAATGTGTTTAGGAAGTTTGCATCTTTGAACCATTTTCGGACTGTCTGATTTTGCCCAGACCGCACAAGTGGCCACGGGTTCCGCATGAGCGGAACATGAAGAAAAAAAAAGGTTTTCATTCTGCTCCTTGGGTGCTTGAGCGGCTGGTGTTTCCGCTCGAGTGGATTTGGGCCGCACGAGCAGTGAAGACTCCCGCATGTGCAGAACCAATGTTTCAGCCTAACTTCAAAAAGGCATATCTCCTTCATCCGAACTCCGTTTTAAGCGATTCTTGAGTCTAAATTCAAGCCCTCGAAGTCTAGTTTCTAAAGGTGATAGTGTCACATCCAAATTCTAAGTATATAAAAAGATATGTTCAAATTAGTGAAGGCTATTTACTTTCTTTTAACCGTTTCATGCCATTTCCTATTTTAATTTAGTTTCCTTTCGCTTCTTGTTATTTCCTTAAATATTAAATAAGTAAACATGATATTTTCAATGAAAAACATATGAAATTATTGTAGGAAACATTAATTTAAGTCATGAACATTTAGGGTCGTTTAAAGTAC